CCACCTACCCATCCACTGCCCATCCATCCACGCTTCCACCCATCCGCCCACCCACCTGCCCACCCATCCATCCCTCCGTCCACCCACCCACCTGTCCATCCGTCCATCCCTCCATCCACCCACCCACCCACCCGTCTGTCCGTCCTTTCATCCACTCCATCCACCCATCCACCCACCCATCTATCCATTAATCCACCCAACCAACCACCCTCCCACCCATCCATCTGTACGTTAGTCCCTCCGTCTGTCGATCCACCCATCTGTCTGTCCATGAATCTATCCATCCACTCATCTGTTCATTCATGCCTCCTCCTATCCATCCACCCACCATCCATCCGCCCACCCACCATCCATCTGTGTGGGTCTATTCAGTACAGCATCCTTATTCTTCTCCCGAGACTCGGGGGGGTGGCACGGGGAGTGAGGGGAGTCTCACTCTAGTTGGACAGAGCTTGACTCTTGACCTTTCACTTTGGTCCTGAGAACACTTGAGCTGCAGGATGTGCAGTCTCTGGACATTGGCCCCTGGTTAGTATTATTAGCCTGTCCTTCCCCGGGGCCTTGGCAGCCCCCCAGGTCCTCCCGGAAGCCCCCAGTTCCCACAGCGGCCTGCCTGCCTCGCGTGAGCACTGGGCCAGGCTGAGATGGGACTATATTTATCCCAGTTGCTCCTTCAGTGCCAACACTGAGTCGCTGTCCCCTGGGGCGGGTCCAGCCGGGCCCTGCCCTCCTCAGGGCTCACCCTCCAGAGCGTCAGAGACGGCGCTGTCGGCGCTGCAGCTCTGCCGCGGGGCTCCCTTCTCCCCAGCTGACGCGTCCAGGCTGCCATTGCAGTCCTTGCCAGGGGCGGCGTCCCCATCCGCCTCCCCGACGTCCAGGGCCTGGGCGGCCTTGGCCTGTGCAGCAGCAGGGGTGCAGCACAGAGTCCAGCTCTGAGCGGGGTGGGCTCGGCTCTCAGAGGATCCTCCCGAGTCCCCCAGGGGGCAGCCTCCTCCAGGGGGGAGGGGCCGCCCTCGGGGGACGGCAGGATAGGGACCCCGGCCCTGGAGGCCCTCGTCCCTCTGGCGCCCTGACCAGCCCTCCACTTCCGAGAGGACGAGGGATGGCCGGCGGTGCTCTGGGGTCTCGCCAGGGCCCGCTCCCTCAGCTCCGACCCCTGTGCTGCCCAGGCGTTGTGAACCGGAGGGACTGGGGCCGGAAGGGTGCCTCAGGCTGGACGGCTCCAGGTTCCGGGCAGTAGATGGGGAGACCGAGGCCCGAGGCAGAGACGCACTCTTCCCGCCGCCTGGGTCCGCCCAGCCCGGCAGGGTCCCGCTGGGGCCTCACCCCGCCCAGCCCGCCCCGAGAGCCAGGACCAGGCCCGGGCGGGGAGAGCCCCGTCCGGCCTCCCCTCCCGAGTCAGACCTTCTCCAGCTCCTCCTGGTGCTTCTTGAACTTCTCGAGCATCTGCTGGAACTCCTCCTCCTTCTCCTGATCCTCGGCCAGGGTGGCCTCGTTCTGCTCCGCGTAGGCCATGGCCACCACGGCCAGGATCAGGTTGATGAGGTAGAAGGAGCCCAGGAAGATGATGACCACGAAGAAGATCATGTAGGTCTTGCCGGCCGCCCGCAGGGTCTGGGGTGGGGGAGGCGGTCCCGGGTCTCTCCACGTGGCCTCTGCGCCCTCCACACGCCTTCCGCCCCCTCCGCCCCTCCGCCCCGCCACACGCCCGTGGCCCGGTGGGGTAAGTGGAGGCTCTCTCTGGAGCCTGGGGATTTGAGCGAACGTCCGCGTCAGCGGCCTCAGAAGGTGCTGTCGCTCCAGGTGCCGCCACCACGTGGCCGTATGGGCAGCACCAGGGCTCCGAGCCACGCCGTGGGTCCCACGAGGCCCGAGCCAGGCCAGACTTCAACCCACCAGCCACCCATCCACCAGTCCATGCTTGTCTGTTGGTCTACCCGTCTGTCTGTCCGTTCATCTCAGTGAAGGTGAGGAGAGAAGGAAACGGGTCCGGCACCCGAGGGCACCGGGGGACCGGGGAGGAGAGGGCCCCGGGCTTGGCCGGCCGGCAGGGCCGGGGGCCCAGGAGGCTGTGGGTGGGTGGCACCGGCCAGGGGTAGGGCTGTACCAGCTGGAAGAGGTTCTCCCAGTAGTCCTGGGTCATGAGGCGGAAGAGGGCCAGGAAGGCCCAGCTGAAGGTGTCGTAGCTGGTGTAGCCGTAGTTGGGGTTGCGCCCGGCCTTGATGCACACGTAGCCCTCGGGGCACTGTCTGGGGGAGCGCTCGGCTGGGACCGCGCACCCGCCCCGGAGCCCCATGCTCCCCCGCCCCGGCCTGGCCATGTCCGCCCCTCCTCCCGGGAGCCCCGCCGCCCTCCCGCTGCCTGGGGTCGCTCACCCCGCGTCGCTACTGTTCCCACAGAGCAGGGCGTCCAGGGCACCGTCCAGGAAATAGAAGTTCCCTTTGGGAGTCAGGGTAGAGGAGGCCGGTCACCCACTGGGACATGCTGGGCACATGCAGCGCTGCGCACCCGTGGCAGCCCAGGGGCACTCCAGGCGCCAGAGGGCGTTTCCTGGGCCCTTCCCCGCCTCTAAGGATGGGTTCAAGGTCTCTGGCCGGGATGCCGCGGGGAGCCGGTTGCAGATGTGACGTGGGTGTGCGCTGGGGGTGGCGTCACTTGTGGAACCCATGGGTGCCGGGGTGGAGGAGGGACGCCTGTCCCCCACTTGCAAAAGGCACCGCGTGGCTCACGGTGTCTGTGCGAGTGTGTGTGTGTCCTGTGTGCCTGTGGAGAGGGGCACGCGAGGTGTGGGTGCCTGGAGGCCCTGCCAGGATGTGACGGAGGACAGGTGAGGGGACGGGACGGAGCCCGGGGCTCTGTGCGGGGCCAGCGCCAGGCTATCGAAAGACCGCCAAGGATGGTGCTGTCATCCCAGGTTGGCGGGGGAGGGTCCCGCGGCTGGGAGAGCCAGCGCCTGCCATAGGCCCTCGGATGCCGGGGCTCGAGTCCTGGCCAGGCTGTGGCCCCACGGCTGGGTCCCTGCCGCCACCCGCCCCTGTCACCTTCGTCACTGATGTAGGCGTCCCAGTCAAAAGAGTGGTTGCTGGCCCAAGCGACGTGGCTGCCCCACGTGTCGTTGCCGGCCCACGCGTCGGGGCCAGCCCACGTGCCGTTGGTGTCGTTGTGCGGTGGGGGCCAGCGCACACACTTCTGCCGCAGGTTTCCCATGAAGAGCTGCAGCCCCACCAGGGCGAAGACGCTCAGGCAGAAGACGGTGAGGATCATGACGTCCGACAGCTTCTTCACCGACTGGATCAGGGCCCCCACGATCGTCTTAAGCCCTGGCGGGGGAGGGAGTGTTGGCAGCAGTGGGCGGGGCACGGTGGGCCCCGCCCCTGCAGGCCTGTGCCCGCTCCATCCTGGAGCCCGACCTGCTGGCTTTGGCTGCCCGGGCCTCCTGGCACTAAACCCCCGCTTCCCTGATCACAGCCTTCAGCTGCGGCTTCCAACTTGCCACAGACAGACCACAAAGACTCGACGGACTGTGGCCTGACCAACAGAGCGACCCAGAGGCGTACAGAGGAGCTGGATAAATGGTGCCGGTTGAACACCCCCAAAGTGTGTTCTACAGAACACGCATCTCCCAAGCATCTCCAAAAGGAAGGCAGCTGGGCTTGGTGGCTCAGCCTGTAATCCCGCGCCTTGGGAGGCTGAGGTGAATGGATTGCCTGAGGGCGCGGGTTCGAGACCCGCCCGGGCAACTTGGCGAGCCCTCATCTCTACAATACATCAAAAATCAGCCGGGCGTGGTAGCGCGCGCCTGTAGTTCCAGCTACTCGGAAGGCTGAGGCGGAAGGATCGCCGGAGCCCGGCAGGTCGAGGCTGCGGTGGCCGGGAGCGGCCGCTGCACTCCAGTCTGGGCGATGGAGTGAGACTCCGACTCAAAAAAAAAAAAAGGAAGAAGGGCAATACTATCTGGGCAAACCTGCACTCTCTACTTTGCTCTTGGAGAGTCACTATGTAGGGTATCCTACCAAAGGCTCTGAAAAGTCCTGCAGGAATAAACAAAAACTTTCACACTGTGTTTCCTCAACATGCTTGTTCCCAGACCCCTTTTCTTACGAGGCCTGTAACACCTGAGGAACAGCGGGTTCCCCTCTGAGGAGCTCTGAATCGACCTTGAAACCATCACATTCTTTGGACAGACCAAGGCCCGCGCAATTCTGACAATTCCAGGGCGTCAACCCTGTCCATGGAAAAGCCCAACCCTTCCTGGGCCTCACCCAGAGTCAGTCACATCAGTGTGAGCCCACTTCCTCCTCTGATCCTGGCCTGGGAAACAAAGGGCTGCCGCTCCTGGTACCAGCCGCCCAAGCCCTGGGGGCACGGGCGGCCTGGCCTGGAGGACGTGGCAGCGGCTGGCATCCCCACCCCGGGCCTCACACCCCGGCCACCCCAGGGATGGGCTGGAGGACTCTGGGCTGTCACTTGGGCCTGGCAGCCCTTCAGACCAGCCCCCTGTCCCCCCTCTGCTTTTCAGGGGTCTGAGGATCGGGTTCTGTTTGTTTCACAGTTCTCGATGTGCTGCTCTGGGTGGCTCGCGACTGACGGGTGTGTGATGGGTCCCCAGCGGGGCTCTCGGGCTGGTGTGTCCCCGAGAGCCCCTGGCGTCTCTCTGCCTGGCAGCCTGCTCGTTTGTTGGGCACACAGGCATAGATCACACCCCTCAGCCCGGGACCGTGGGTCCCTTGTCGATACGAAGGCCCGTGGTCCTCACAGCGATCCTGGGAGGCAGCCACTGTTAGCGCCGCTCCCCGTAGGAAGCTGAGCCCTGGCAGGGCAGCCACTCGCCCGCCGTCTGGTGCTGGCGTGAGCGCCGAGCCTGGCTCTGCCACGCACTGCCCCCTGTCTCCCGTTCCCCCGCCGGGGCCCCATGTCCAGACGCCCGCCGGGAGTGGGGCCCTCCCGAGCCCTGAGGACGGCCCCGTGCCTCTACCTGGGATGACCGTGATGGTCTTCAGGGCCCGCAGCACTCGGAAGGTCCTGAGCGCCGAGACGTTGCCCAAGTCCACAAACTCCGTCAGGTACCTGGGGTTGGTCGGGCCAGGGTGGGTGGGGGGCAAGACAGGGCTTCTCCAGGCCCGGAAGAGGTCCCCAGGGAGCCGGGGTACCCGGGGCGGGCCTCCCGAGACCACGCATTGGGAGGGGCTGGGTGGGGGCCTCGCGGCGGGGGCTGGGAGGACGGTGCTT